CGGCATCACCGCCAGGGGAGGGGGAAGTTTGGCGGGCCGAGGTCAGGCCTCGCCATGGGGGCCGGGGGGGGACAGGGGAGAAGGCTCACCTGCGGCTGCTTCCTTCTCCTCCCGCAGAGCGTCTCCCCCCCCCACCCGCGAGTATTGCAGGTCCCCCTTCTTGTTATGTCTAATTCTGAACCTGGCCATAGAGTATGGATCAAAAAATCCACACGATAGGTACAAGTGCTGTTCTACAAGCCTGGTGGAAGTCCTAGGTTTGCCAGAAAATAGGAAAAGTAAACAACAACAACAACAACAATACATTGGGGGTTAGAAAAGCCCCCCAGATCATCGAAGCAATGTCTGCTTCTTTTAAAAAATGCCACAAGACTAAAGTGTAATCTTGGTAGCCACTGGGGTGCGTGGGGTTATTTGGTAATCTGTAGCCAGCATCACTGAGGATTTGAAACCACAGTTAGTGTTGGCAGGGGAAAGGGGGGGGAGACAAAAAGGGTAAAAAGATAGGGAGGAAAATAGGTAAAGCGAGAGGGTGGAAGACTAGAAAAGGTAAAAAAGACAAAGCTGAAAATAGGGGAAAGGAGCAGAAAAGGGTAGGTGAGGGAGGGAGAGGCCATAAGGGAAGAAACTGAAATGGTAGGTAGTAAATAGAAGGGCCAGAGAGAAAGGGGAGAGGCCGTACCCACCGTCAGGGGAAGGCAAAGAGAAAAATTAAAAGGGAGAGAGGAAGTGGTGACATGAGATTCTTTTCCGTGTGTCTTCACTTCTTATTACCTAATGCTGTACACCGTCTTGCATGAAACGGTTTAATGCTATACAAGGTCTTAACCTTGGCTTTAAAAGCATTTGATTCATTCCAAAAGAAAAATAAATTATAGAATTTTAATAGCATTTTTCGGTGCTTCCCAATGCTTCCATTAGAAAAGCTGAAAGGGGAACTCAGATTTTCATGCTGTACATTTTGCAGTAAAACTTCATCTTAAATTTCATGAATTAAAAAAACAGCTTTTTTTCACAGTGCTACGCCAAAATTTCTAATTTTTTCCATTGGAAAAACTGGAAAAAGATGATTGTCCCCTTGCCCCTTGTTTTTCCCGGCCTTCAAATCTCCAGTCATACAGCTTGTCTATCTAGGTCAGTTCTGTCTATTCCGACTTCTAGCAGCTCTGTCATGCTCAAAGGTCTTCTTCAGCGCCTGCTACCTGCAATCCTTTTAACTCGAGATCTAAGAGATTAAAACTGGAACCTTCTGCACACAAAGTACATCACCTGCCACTGAGCTGCATCTTCTCGGGAGCTTAAATTTCTAACTCTTTTTCAGCCATCGTATTTGTTGTCTTTAGAACCCAGACAGGGGTCATTTCCTGGGCCCCCCCCCCCCCACAACACACCTCAAATCAGCCAGTATGCTTGCCTATTTATTACTTGTTTTAAAGCACTCCTATCCATTTTTGTCTTAAAAAAATAGCAGTATGCACAGCCACACAAGATAAGCGCAGATGAAAAATGCACAACAATAAAAACTAATTAATAAACAACAAGCAATAATCATAAAAGAGCCATTAAAAAAACCAGCAGGCAATATAAGACTAAAACAGTTGTCAATAAAATCTTAAGACCAACAGTTTAGCAGCATGATTAAAAAAAAAAAATCCTTGAACAAATTAAAACCACCAATGATAAACAGGAGGGAAGACAAAAGTCATTTAAATTATCTTTGAAACATACAAACAGTTTTAAAACCAGCTTCTGGAAGGCTAAAAGCAAGAATGTCAGGGCAGCTTCCTGGGTCACTTCCACAATCTTGGGGCTACCACAGAAAAAGCCCTGCTCTGTGTACTCACTCAGTAATGAAGCAACAGAAATACCCCCAACTCCCTAGACATCACGCAAGTCCATTGTGCATCTCACAAGTACAATGTGCTACACGAAAGAAACAACATACAGTGAATTTTCCATGTGTAGGGTGAGACAAGAGTCTTGAGAAGAGCATTCAGTCATGCCAGCTCCCCGTCACTGTCTGAAGCAGCACAGCACAGTTCTGTGAGGAATAGGCTGGAGAGACCATCGCCAAAAATTAGCCTCCGTAACAAGTGCACTTGTGGCATTTTTCACCAGTAGAAGTGCTCTATGGGTGAATGCTTCAAGCCAGCATTCCTGAGTTGCCACAATTCTGCAGCAATCCGAGTCAGAAAGAAACACACTGCTTTCAGTGAGTAGCTGCTTTTTATTTAAGGAAACCAGGGGGAACAAGCCCCTAAGTCAAGCTGAAGTAAAATTAAAAGGAGTCTTGGGGTACCTGAAAAATGAACAGCTATTTCTGGAGCATAGAATCCACCTCATCAAATGAATGAAGTGTCTCCTCAGCCGGCAGACATAGATACGTACAAATGAACACATTAGCATAGAGAAAAGAGTTATCTTAAACAGCAGGGAAAAGGTGCATTGCACAGAGACGTCAGTCTGTACATTTTGGACTTCATTGCCCTTTGACCCCATGATGCCAACGAATACATATCTACCTAGTGAGGTCACGAATAAATGTAGTGTTTTTATCCTGTTGATGGAGGGTTATCTCGTGTTTGGGTCCCTGCAGCTCTTCCTGCTTCATTAACCTCTTTGAGTCTGAGGTGTTAAGGAGAGGTATAAATATTTTAAATAAGCCAATAAATAAAAATCTGATGAAGGGGACCCTGGACCAACAAAAGCTTCTGCCAGAATAAATCCATTTGTCACCCAGGTGCCCCCGAGACTCCTTTTTGTTTTGGCAGCAACAGACTTCAAACAGTTACTTCTCTGGAATCTGCTGCAAGGAAATAAGTTAAGCGTTCTGTCATTTTACGGCACCAGTGTTCAGTCTTGCCCTGGGTCTTTCCAACAGTTCTCAGGCCATGTCTTCTCTACCCACAATGCAACAGGTGCTGATTTTACTAACAGGAGGGTTCTGGGCAAAAATACAAGCCACTTACATTCTCTTTAGAAAAAGTCCGTGTAAAGCACAGAAATCGGGTGACCTTGGATTTAAAGAGGCCGTCTTTCCAGAGGTCAGCATCCAACCCATCTGCTGTTTGTGCAACCTGGAAGGAGGGGGGGGGGAGCAGAAGGGATGTAGGTAAGAAGGACAGGTGAGCCACACTGAAGCAAATATATAGGCACTGCATCCCCTAATTAATGTCGGCCTGAGGCTCTCCTGACACCTCATTAAGTCTCTCTTCCGCCACAGAAAACCTATGGGAAAGAGAGGGAGCTCAAATGCAAGAGGGTCGATTCTAAAAATACTGTCACCAGAGAACCAATTGATTAAAGATATCCTAGTGCTCAGCACTGTGTACAAGAAGCCGTAACTTGGGTCACCACTTTTTAGCTAGGTATTTAGTTTTGATTTTTTTGACAAGGGGAGGGGTGAAGACACAAAGGCCTTACCCTTCTTTGCAGACCCTTGTTTGGAAAAACCGAGAAGCCTGAGTTTACAAGGAAGAAACAGGACTGTTGCCCCTCATGGCCCTATACCCCAAGAAGAAACAATGGACTGGTCTGCCCTTCACAAGTCTGAGGACAGAAAAATGCAATGAATCATCAGGAAGGGTACAGACTAATGTGGAACTCTCTGATTGGAAATAGGCTGAAGCAGGCATGTGGTAAAAGCTTCCAGTTTGGTGAGAGCCAGTTTGGTGTAGTGGTTAAGTGTGCGGACTCTAATCTGGGAGAACCGGGTTTGATTCCCCACTCCTCCACTTGCACCTGCTGATGTGACCTTGGGTCAGTCACAAGCTCTGGTACAGCTGTCCTTGAAAAAGAGCAGTTTGTGTCAGAGCTCTCTCAGCCCCACCCACCTCACAGGGTGTCTGTTGTGGGGAGGGGAAGGGAAAGGAGTTTGTAAGCCGCTCTGAGATACCTTTGGGTAGTGAAGGGCGGGGTATAAATCCAATCTCTTCTTCTTCTTCTCTTCCATGTCAGGCTGGTTGGCCTGGCTTAGCCAGGAGGGGACTGTGCCTCAGCAGCTTTTGTAATAACCCACTAGGATTGCCAGGTCCCGTTCCCCCACCCCCCAGCCACCAGGTTGGGAAATTCCAGGAAAATTGGGGATGGGACCTGGGGGGGAGGGGATAAATTATCGTATGGCATTGTGTGTGGAATAGCCAGGAGATCCCAGAGGATTATTTGGCTGCCTGAAGCTGTAGCTCTTTTTTGGCACCACTAGGTGGCGAGCTATGCTTATTTTTAGGCTGAGAGTTCTGGAGATTTGCCCAAGGTCACCAAGATGGCTTCAAGTGGGGAAGTGGGGAACTGAACCCAGTTCTCCATATTATAGTCGGCCACTCTTAACCACTACACCCAACTGGCTCTAGGGACCTGGAGAGGACAGGGACCTCAGTGGGGTACAATGCCATAGAATCCACCTTCCAAAGCATCAATTTTTCCAGGGGAATGATCTCTGCAGTCTAAAGATGAGCTGTAATTCTGGGGGATCCCCAGACCCCACCTGGAGGGTGGTATCCCTACTGCCCATTAGACAATTTGATAGAATGAGAAAAAGTACTTGGTTCATGCACAGCAGGCCTAAATAGAGGCTCCTCATGCAAAACTGAATTTAAGGGAAGCGTTTTTACAAAGGCAATAGAGCTATATTGTAATTGAATAGTTCAGGAAGGTACTTTAATAAAGGGAAAGAGACTGTGGACTGTACTACTGTGTATGATACGTGCTATCTGTTGCTGTATATATTAGCCTACTATGTAATTTCTGAATTGTTTAACATGTCATGTTAATACTTCTGCTTTGGTTCAGATTTCTGCAACCCCAGTCCTATTACATTGCTTATTGGATGTCCCATCCTGTAGACTACATTGATTTACACTGTGTAATCTACCTTGAGTCTCAGTGAAAAAGGAAGATGTAACATGACGTAAATAAAATAGGTAGCAGCGAGTACCTCTTTCTTACACTGCCATCATAAGAGTTACACCCTTTTACTTCAATTGATTTAGATGGCTGTAACTCTGCTTTGGAAGGCACTGTTAGTCTGAGACCCCTCCCTGATAGAGGACAATAATTCTGACCTACCTTACAGGGCTATATGTCGGATAATTCTGATCTATCTTATGTCTATATGTCGGATAATTCTGATCTATCTTAAAGGGCTATTATAAGGATTATTTCAGAATACATGCAAAATGTTTTTAACATCTGCACAGCTCTTTCTGTGATAAGTTTTATTATGACTAAAGTTTTGTCTGGTCAGCCAAAATTATCCTTTGTGAGCTAGAAAGCACCACAGCCATGGAAAACAGATGACACTACCCACTGGCCATAGACTTCAAAGACATGGACATTCAAGCAAGCCCCCTCAAATCCATTTGAGCTATATCACCTCTATAAGCAACTCCACAGCTAGACAATGCTGCTAATTTTAGCCTTTGTCAGTTTGCATTTTTAAAAATAAAATCCTCTTACAAAAGTAACAAAAGGAATGATCAGCAAGGGCCTAGGCCAGAACCAAATTTAATTTCTAGCATATGTTCTCAAGATGTTATTGGCACTGCCTTTAGAGAGGAACTTAAAACATTTATTTATTTATTTGTTAAATTTGTACCCCACACTCCCCGCAACGCAGAAAATAAAATACATGCAACAAAAACCAATTTTACACAATTAGATTCTTCAACTGAAAATGAAACGTGTCAGTTCAGATTGTGTTCTTTAGGGCTGAGGAAATTCAAGAAGTGTGGTATATTTATTTATTTAAATATTTTCTTACCCTGTGTCTCCTAGCTAGCACAAGGCAGCTGACAAAGAGAAAGAAGTACTTTTCTCCCTTTCTCACAATAAAAGAACTCGTGGGCACTCAATAAAATTGCTGAGCAGCAGGGTTAGAGCAGATACAAGGAAGTCCTTCTTCACCCAAAGAGTGATTAACACATGGAATTCACTGCCACAGGAGGTGGCAGCAGCTACAGGCATGGACAGCTTCAAGAGGGAAATGGATAAATGCATGGAGCAGAGGTCCATCGGTGGCTATTAACCACAAGGTATAGATAGGAACTCTCAGTCTGGGGCGAGGGATGCACTGTATTCTTGGTGCTTGGGGGAGGGGCAACGGTGCAAGGGCTTCTAGAGTCCTGGCCCCACTGCTGGACCTCCTGATGGCACCTGGTATTTTTGGCCACTGTGTCACAGTGTTGGACTGGATGAGCCATTGGCCTGATCCAACATTGGCTTCTCTTATGTTCTTATGTTCTCTTAAATAAGGCCACAAGACCAAAACTCGGGTCAAAACACGCAATCACCACTAGCTCAAAAAGAAGCAGCAAAAAAACCCCCACAGAAACAAAAACACCCAACACAAATTAATTCTTTCATAATACAAATGACTCAGCCCAATCTGAAAGCATGTCCTTGCTGGAAGCCTTCTAAGCCTTATGAAAGCATGCTGCAGTGTTATAAAGTTTTAAGCTAGGACTCAGAGACTACAGTTCTAATCCCTACTGAGCCACAAAACTCCCTGGAACTGTCTCTCTCAGGGAGAATGTTGTACATGCTCTAAGGAGGAAAGGTGGGATAACAAAGGAAATAATATCCTTAGCGCTGCTGCTGCAATGGTGCCTTTCAGACGGCCTCTAGAAGTCCATTCCATGACATCGGTGCTACCACAAATGCAGCTCAGGAATGGGCAAAGGCAGAACAGACCTCACAAGGCGTGTGAATGGCAAAGAGGGACCATTACAAAAGGCACAAACGGCACCGGGGTCAACCAAAGGGATCACAACATTACTACTCAGCATTTATACACTTCCTGTGTTCAAACCCCTTCCTATACATTTTCATGCTATAATCCTTATAACAGCCCCACAAGGTAGGCTTATATTATGTAATGTATTCAGATGCTGCCCTGAATGCATGAGGATGAAGTGTGAATCATCCCACTGAGAAGCTATGCTAAGCTTCAGACGTCGGCTAGGATTCGCGCCGAAAGAATTGTGTCCAATCACATTTGAACTGTCTGTGGTGGGAACACTTGTGATTGGGCAATTATGCGAACAACCTGATAGGTTGAGAATTGTATAGTAGGTGTGGCTACATTAGCCCGGAATGTTTAAATACCGAGCAGCTGCAATGGAAAAGCTGTTCGGGCTATGAGGAGTTGTACCGTGTTAGAGAAGTTGATCGTCGAGCTGAATAAACCTGAGTTTTTGCTGAAATCACTCTCTGACTAATTTGTTAAGTGCGGACTTAACATATTATTTTTTAAATCCATAACAAAAATAAAGAGCAAAACAGATCTCCTTCCAAGGTAAGGAAATTATGAACTCTTCCTACACCGATCCTGTAAGGAGGGCTACCCTTTCTGCTTTTTTCTCCAGTGACAGCTTTTGACAAAGTTCTGCTATGCTTCTTATTTGGAAATGAAAGTTAGAGTATCTTTACAAACCATGCTAGGCATAATTACAATAATCACGGCAGAACCTTTTGAAACCGTGAAAGCCAATCCTTCCTACTTAGCAATCACAACTCCACAAGTTAACTTTAGATCTATGAAGTCATTGTTGCACTACGACACCAGAAGGAAAAAGGTCCATAAGAGCAGTTCCAGTCAAGACCTGCATTCCAACAGGAGCAGAAAAACTTCCACGTGCCTCATTTTTTTCCTAAAGCTGTTGTGAAGGTCAAATCCTGTTGCAAGATCAAATAAACAAAAGGTATGTGTGCTCATTTTTTTAAAACGCACATAAAGTGTGCAAATGTCTGTTCCATTGACCGGCTGAGTAATTTCAAGACAGACAAAAAAGAAAAAAGAAAAAAAGAAAGGACCTTTGGCTTTTGCAAGCCTAGGAATGTTCCCGCAAGAGTTACATTAGGGATAACAAATATGGGAGTGAACCTGAAGAATTTCACTCGCAGACACTTATTTTAATGTTTAACGGCAGCTGCTTGGGTCTGCCAGCATTTTCAGGCTACAGACAGAAAAAGAAAATAATCCCAGTAGTTAATGGATGCTGTGTGCGTATGCATGTCCCCTCAAACTACTTTATTGTGATGGAAGGTAAAGTGGAAGCCCACAAAACCTACTGGCTACTGA